AGGATTGATCACCAAAGATGCAGATTTTAGTGTACTATTTAATCATTGGGAAATTTTAAAACATTATCTTCTGGTAATAAATTGTGAGAGTGAGTAGTGGAGAAAGCTGTTGTGTGGAAACTCGGCATCGCGAGTCTGTACCAATTAACTTAAAATCTCCCCCCCCCCCCCCCCCCTCGCCCCCCTTCCATAAAAAAAATAATACAACCCAGCCATTACAGAGATAATACTAACCACTCACACTTGCACTAAAACCTTTGAGTAAGCAAAACCTACAGGTGTATGCACGCGCGCTGCTGAAATTGTTTCCAAATTAAACACCAATCCGGAATAACAACCTCTCCCACTCGGTGCAATAACTACAGACCTGAATTTGACCTTCTTAGAATGCCCACCTGGGCCTTGAGAAAGGTTTTTCCCACCTTTATGTCCTTTCCTTCCTCATCCTTTCTCATGAACTTACACTTTGCCCTGACCTTACTTGTGCCCTTTTCTCTCCTTTGGACTGGCGTGACTCACCGGGTTTGTAGATTTACACTTAAGTTTCTAATGGGATCCACGTTCATTCACACTCATAGTTTTCTACTGGTCACCTTGACCTGTATTGTATGTTCATCAAGGCCAAAAGCTCAAGCATTTCTCAGATGGCTGCATCATCCTTCCAGGCACTTTCCCCCTCGTCAAGCAAGCCTCGTAATATTGTCATCAGCATGGCATCCTCGCTACCATTGCCTGTGCCTTCCCGTTGCCCTAATTATCTGCCTTTGCCTGGATTCTCTGTCCATACACCATCTGATATTGTCCACTGCTCACTCCTGTTCCCTGCCACCCAGTCATTCCTGATTTCCCAGAGGTGGCCTTGCTTCATAACTGTTACTCTCTCTTCACCCTTGGCTATCGCACACACTGCTGGAGGCATCTTCCAGAAGCTTGTCACATCCTTTCTCCAGTTCAAAGATTCTGTAAGATGCCCAGGTCATTCCAGTGTTAAGCCCAAAGCCACATTTCCCAATAGCTAACTAAGCCTATACTGTAGGTACCCACAAGGGAAAGGCACCAAAGGAGAAGTAGGAACAAGCCTTTAAAATAACTTCACAGGGCACATTGTTTAAAAGCACTAGTGTGGTTGCCTGGGAGGAAGGAGAAAGAGACCTTCATTAGACTTCCTTACTTGAATTTTAGGATGTAGTTAATTTGTATAAATATTTGTATTGTGAAGTATGTGATATTAAGATAATCTCAAGTGACAGTTTACGGAAAATGTGTGGTTTTCAGTTACACTTATTGAAGCCCATTAAAGTTTTATTTGGGCACTAATTGAGTGCACGTTTTCAAATCTAAATTTCAAAGTTAACCCTGGTGATACGATTCCCAAACACCTTTCCTTCCTTACTGTGCAATCGCTTTCCTCTATGCTCAAGGCTGTGTGGCGCTGAGGCCTCATGCCTTCTGTCTTTGGTGCACTCTGACTACTCAGCCCTTTCTTCCCTCAAGATCCCCGCTCTTTTCTTGACACTCTTTAAGCCCAGCCTCTTGATCCTGCCCTGAGACCCCATCATCCAGAGGAACAGGAATTTCTCCTTCCTCCGCCTTTGCCACATAGGTCTCCCCTTTCTCATAGCCCTTAACATTTACCACCTTCTTGTACCTCATTGGGTGTCCCTCACTGTCTCCCACTTAAAGATCCACTCACAGACATCCTAGCTTTACCAGGTAAAAAGCACACAAGTCAGTTTCAGAGTTGGTTGCTGGGTGACTGGATTTGGATCTACTGTTTTAAAAATGTTTCTTTCAGAGTGCCTACCATGTCCATGCTGTCTTAGAAAATGACATGGAAATTTTTCAAGAAAAGGAAGCAGAATCACTACATCATTTCCACATCTTTACCTAAGTGAAGGGAAGGGGAGAGCTTGCATGGTCTTTGTACACCCACAGTCATAGTGGCCTTACGGGCAATAGCTGAAAGGGGTATCGACCCACTTGTCTATCTATATAAGTGTATAGATACAACAGAATGCCACCGAGCTTTACACAGTGAATTTCTGATACACACTACCACATAAAAACTTAGACATTCTGCTGACTGAAATGAAGCAGCCACCCGTGACCAAATGCTGCAGAGCTCTGCTTAACTTGAGGTCTGTGGAAGACAGACTCTCATAGAAGCAGGAAGCAGAGCCTGCCTGCCATGGCTGGGGGTTGGGGAGCACTTCAGTTACAAACAGAGGGAAGGTTCTGGAAGAAAACTGTGCTGGAGGTTATATAGCAATGTGAATGCAACTCCTTGAGGATATCCCTGATCCTACAGAGCTTGAAATCTGAAAAATGGCAAGAGTGGTAAAGTGTGTGTGCGTGTGCGTGTGCGTGTGCGTGTGCGTGTGCGCGTGCGCGTGCGCGTGCGCGTGCTTGTGTGCGTGTGTTATTACAATACCAAGTTATTGGGGAAGGATGTTGGAAGGCCTCTTAATGAAGGGCCGTGTGCACTAGAGGGCCTGCTCCCTACCTCAACCTCGGCTTAATGAAATCTGAAACTTCACAGCACACTTCTGTGGAGTCATATAAAGTTATCAGATGAAAAGAAACATGCCTTGATAAAAAGTTGTATAAATGATTAATTGTGCCAGTGCTTTACAACTTATGGTGATATTTGCAAGTTTCCTATGCATCTCCTCTAATTTTTTTTTTTTTTTTTTTTTTTTTTTTTTTTTTTTTTTTTTTTTTCTCTGTGTAGCTTTGGAGCCTACCCTGGCACTCGCTCTGGAGACCAGGTTGGCCTCGAACTCACAGAGATCCACCTGTCTCTGCCTCCTCCTGAGTGCTGGGATTAAAGGTGTGTGCCACCAAAGCCCGGCTAATTTTTTAAAACCTTAAGTACTTCTTCTGTGGCTCAACTTTCAAAATGCATAATGCTTTCTGGTTATCAAGTCAATACGTATTTATTATAAAATATTTAAATACTTCAAAATGGATTGACTTGAACTAGGCAATAGAGCATTGCCAATAGCCCCAGCTGCTCAGGAGTTCACCCAGGAGTTCAAGACCAGCCTGTGTAACATAACAAGACCTTATCTCAATACACACACACATTTGTATTTATTTTATACATAGCATATATACTTTCTTATATAATATACATTCTGGAAAGTAAAACTTAATGATCACATGAGGCTTTTGTTTTCAATTTGGAATATGTACATTGTCTATGCATTTAAATTATTGTTTAAGAAAACAGACTTACACAAATTATATCAGCAATAACTTTTTACTTAAAAACGTATATCTAGATAGCCATCTCTGTATTGATATTTTATTTGTGGTTTATTAAAGCTTGCCTGAGGATTCAGAAAGCAAACTCAGCCACAAACCATAGAAGCCATGCATATACCTTTAATCCCAGCAGCCAGAAGCTAGGAGGTAGTGGTACACACCTTTAATCCTAGGACTCAGGATTAAGAGATAGACAGATCTCTGTGAGTCCCAAGTCCACCCAGATCTACACAAGATTGATCCAAAAGAGAAACAGCTCACACAAAGATGATCACAGCGCCTGGGATCACATGTCTTTAATCCATGCACTGGGGAGGTATATAAGACATGAGCAAGATCTCAGTATCAGGCAAGATTTAATAAATCATAAGTAATATATCTCTACAATTCCCCTTTTTGCCTAGTACAAAAAGAAAAACTACTATAAATCATAAATAATATGTCACTACACATCTCTTATTGCTCTCCAGAGAAACATAACCACTAAAATAAATAAGGATATAGGCAGAGATTTACTAGGAAGGATTGGTTCACCTGGGTGGACATCTCAGAACTGTTATCTGCAAGCTGGAGTTTTGAGAAAGGCCATGGTTTGGTTCCAGGGAAGTCCACTTGACGATGGCAAGTGATGGAGAGGAACATTGGTGTCCAGCTCGACAAGTGAAAATGAATGTGCATAGCTCTGCCTTTCCACTTGATTTGCAGCACTCAGTGGACTGGGTGATGACCACATCACTGAGAATTGTCTTCGTTCAGACTGACAGTTCAAAAGCCATTCGCTTCTGGAGACACACTCACCAACTCTCACAGATAATGCTGTACCAACTACCTGGGCATCTCTTAATCCAGCCAACATGCAAAACTGGCCATCATAACCTTTTACTATATGTTTAAACTACTGTAAATTATTCCCCGGTGAGGTCACACCTTAATCTATTTTCTACAGAGAAGTATAATACATACATTTCTTTGTATTATACTTAACTGTTTCTGAGTGATGGCTAGGTGAAGTGAAAAGCATAACTTTATATCTTTAAAATTATAAACTTTAGGGCTGGAGAGATGGTTCAGCAGTTAAGAACGCTGACTGTTCATCCAGAGGTCCTGAGTTCAATTCCCAGCAATCACGTGGTGCTCCACAACCACCTTAAATGAGATCTTGTGCCCTCTGCATGTAGGCAGAAGACTATACAAAATAAATAAATAAAATCTTTTAAAAAATTATAAACTTTAAATATTACAACATTGTAGGGAGTATATTTGTTTTCTTTTTCACAACATTAACCAAATAAAACTTTAATTCTACTTTGGCCTTAAGTCATTTTGAATTATTGAGATTGACTATGCATACTGTAGGCTGAGTTTAGATGTTTAAACAGAAATACCCAGGTGAGAACATCAAAGCCTGAACCAATGAGTTTTTCCAAGATTTGGTTTGTGTAAGTGTAAAATATAATCCAACTATTGGAAGACCTGAGCCCAAGCCTGTAAATTCTCCAAGTCCCCTAGCTTCAGCTTGTTTGAGAAAAAATCAAGGGAAGTGAGGAACTGTAAGTTTGCCGTCACCTCCTTTACTCTGGGATATTTACCTTTCTCAGGTCTTTAAGAATTTGTTCATCCCACTCATTCTAATGTCTTAAAGTGCCCTATTACATGGTGAATGCACTCTCAAAACCTTATGCATTACTTTCTGACACTACAATCTTACCACACACAGCAAATCCCCATAGAAAATGTTTGCTTGTTTTGATTCTGATAATTACGATGTTTGTGGGCCACAGAATGGCACTAGTGACCCCTTCACTTCTGTTGTTTCTTGTTAGCTCTACTCTTGAATGGCCAGTTTTTCCATTGTGCTCTCAGTCAAGAGGCCTACAAATGTATATTTGGTAATTATTAAAGAAAAAGCAAAGGGCTTCAAAGCTGCTGCTGGATCTGTACTTTTAAAATAAAGCCTGTGGCAATCAGATGGAAAATGTATTTATTTACTCAGAGAAAAATGACATTTTTTGTTTGATACTTTCTTGAGAATTTTTTGGTGTCAAACATACTGGTGGGCCACTGAAAGAACATCCCTAAAAATCTACAGTATATTCTACTCCTTCTACCTACAACCTGCTTCTAGGTGTTTTCTATGAGTGCAGAACCCTGTCAAACACTAATTCTTCATTTATGAAGGAAAATTTAAGAATAATGATTAAAATACCCTACCTCATAGAGAAGTAATAACTTAATCATGGTGTATACACACACATTTTTTTTTTTTTTTTACTTTCTGGTTAAAATTATTTACACATCTGTGCCTAGGGTTAAAAATAATGAGATTCAACCACAAAGATGAGTAAATAATATATAATTGTAGTGTTGGAATTCATCAATTTACAGTGGTTGCCTCCATATTTGCCTTTCTTTTGATCTTCTCATAGACATATTGTTATTGACTGCAAATGTCTCAGTATTTTTGCTCATTGGAATGTGGTTTGACAGATTAATTATATGTTATCAGGCAGTTGAAGATCAGCTAAAGATATGTGGCCACAGGAGGGATATTGATGTCTTCGAACTGTTCCTCTCTAAAAAGTAAGTGTGCTTTCTGGAAAAACACAGAGGAATATCATTTTATAATCTTTTATAAAGACATTTTTTTCATTACCCCTTCTTCAAGGACTGGGTAGGCAATCACAGCATAATTACTTTACCACTTATGAGAGTATACCACTTATACCTAAGAGGCAAGACATTAAAAAGCCTAAAAAACAGAGGTTATTGAGCCAGGCTGACTCAAGATGATCTTGGGATGTTATGTAACTTTCCTGCTAGAATTACCACATTTGAAAACAGATAGAACATCAGTTAAATATTAATTTTAGAAAAACAGTGAGTATGATTTTTAGTATCCTTGTGTGCCAGACAATATTTGTTACTTCTCAAAACCTGCAAATATTAACTCGATACCATTTCATTAAGTAGTCCTACTCTTGTATAATACAGGATGGTTGTAACATGTAGAAGAGGTAGAAACTAAAGAGATTCCTGGTACATAGTAAGCAGTCAGTTATCACTAGTACAATTAATAGTATTACTATTGTTGTGAATAGTAACCTATTCTCATATTGTAAGAACCACTATTGTACTATAACCCGTAAAACCACTTATGTGAATTTTGTTAGCAAATAGAAATAAAACGCTTCCTTTACATCAAAGAGGTGTTCTACAGAACTCAATAATCCCAGTGTCTGCAACAGACCCCAGATACAAGAGGGAGAGGAAGTGATGCATATGGTTGGACTCTGACCACACTGTATTCCTGCTGGCCAATAAGTGACATCCTGCATGGCCACTGTTTGCATTTTAATAGCAATAACACTGCTCTGAATTATATGCATCCCACAAAGTTCATGTGTTAGGAACTGAATCCTAATGCAACAGTGTTGAGAAGCAAGACCAGTGAGAGCTGATTGGGCCATGAGTGCTCTGCATTTCACTCATGGATTAATGGTGTTGTCACCAAAACCAGCTCATTGCTTCAGGAGTAAGTTCTTGATCACAGTGAGTTTGCTCCCCTGCTCACACACATCGTCACCATGTCGTGATGTAGCAAGAAGGTCACTCCAGCAATGCGATACTACTGATCTTAAGAGTGGGTAGACAAAAAGGATAGCTTTAAACCACCAGAAAAAATTAGAAACATTGTCCTTTGACTGTGAGTGATCAATAGTTTTCTTATATGAAGGACAGCAGATTTGGGGCAAAAAAGAATTTCACAGTCTACATGCATAAACTAGGTAAGCTGGGTACTTTGTTTAAGTCCCAGTTGCCTTTGGAACAAGAGTGTCTTATTAATGTCTCTTAGTAACTTGTCAACACAAGTCATAGCATCGTTAGTAGTAGATTTACATCTTGTGGTCTTGATTGGCCTCACCTTAAAATATAACAACTTATTATTGATCTAGGACAGGCTTGCTTGCAGAAAAAGCATTCCCAACTTGAAAGTACTTTCAAAGAAATGAGTCACTTTGCTATATTTTGTAATAGCCAGATTTTCAGCATTGATATTATTACTATAAGAAAAAAATGATAGAAATGGCTAGACTCATTGATATTGTACTAATGGATTAAAATTATATGCAAGTCCCAAAATGAGGCTCAAGATCTTTAGACTTCTAAGTTGAGGTTGTTTTTATGACATCATAGGGAGGATTTAACATTTAACATTCTACCATCCCTGACTGTAGAGTTAGTCAGATTGCACCATGGTCTAAGGACTCCTTAGAAAAAAAGATACTGACTACAAAGAGAGAAGGTGCATAAATGCTGTGTATTCTCCCAATGAAAGTTGCTTTGGGGAAAGCTGGTATTTGTTGTTGTGTTAGAGAAATTCTGTGTGAGGGGATACATAATTCCAAAGACGATGGAGGAAAAAAAATAAATGCAAGAAAGAAGAGAGCAGTTGCTCTTTGTAGGAAATAAAATGTTAATGAATGTAAGAAGAATGGGGGCATGAGAAAAAATATTTTGCAATCAAGGCAGTGTTGTTATATGAAGCAAGATTTTCATGTGGACTCAGAGTCCTACATGTTAGCTTTGTACTATAAAATTTGCACTTTTACAATAGAGACCTGGCAGGCCTTAAACAAGTAACAGAACTTAGTATTACCATAACTGGAACAAACTGACATAATTTACTTTCTGATGTAACACAGAATTTCCGCTAATGTCATTAAGAGGTGGCATATCTAGAATATAACTTTTAGAAAACTCTTAAGACAAATCAAGAATGTAGGATGTTCTTCTGGCCAGTTGTCCAGAGCTTTTCAAAATGTAAATACGTTAATGGGGAAGACTTTGGCAAATGTAAACTTAAAATGATGAATTAAACTAACTGAATACAACATACAAATATGATGGCTCAAGACATAAACTATAAAGGTAGTATGTAAATGTAGGTGAGTAGGGGGTGTAAATAATTTATTTGATGTTTTACTTGGCCGAATTAAACTTAATCTCCTTAGGTGTGATATTTGTATTATGATTTGCAGAAATATATTTTAATTTGGAAGCTATGAATATTGAGCTGTTTAGTAATGAGAGTCTTATTTTCAGATGACTCAAAAAATTACACACACACACACACACACACACACACACACACGGCAGAGTGAAGAAAATGTAGTGATTACGTTATTTTTTTATAAGGTTGTGGGCAAAGGAGATGGCTTAGTGGTTAAGAGTGCATACTAGTCTTGCAGAAGGCCTGAATTCAGTTTACAGCACATGTATCAGACAGTTCACAACAACAAAACATTGATGATGCTTAGGAAACAGAGCCCTAGAAACCCTGAGCTGGAACCCCCTAAGAATTAGCTTTCATGGAACAAGCAGGCACCATGCATAATTCCGAAGGAGAGAAACAACCAACAGTCCTACGAAGCTATGGTGCCGATGAGTCATGCAACAACCGGCACTGAATGATATCCCTAAGGGTACAGCGATGGCGTGTATACCTTGCTGGTAATCATAGCTCTCTAATTTGACTTCATACACACTCAACAAATGGGAAATCACATGTGGTACTGGAAACCTAGCTAACTACTCTGTGCTAATGAAGTCATGGTTATTAGAGAATTTATAACCTCTAATTTACTAAACCATCATAATCCCTCACAACAATCTATAAACATTGTCCCTAGACCCACAGATAAGTGGAGTCCTCACCCCTCATCAGGGAAACTTTTCTTTGCAAATGATGGAGACCACTACAGAAAAACACAACCAATTAAAATTCATCATTGTGGAGTCTGATCCACAATACATAAACAAAACTTTCCCCACACCTAAGGCTCAGAGAATATGGTGGAAGGGGTAAGGGCACTGTAATAGTGAGAGGATCAGGAAGTTCGCTGTGAGATTGTGTGTCCTAGTAGCATCACATGTGTGTATGTTTAATTTAGAAATATCATTTACATGCTTTAAAATTTTTATTAGGCACAATGGTTCACATTTTCAGTCTCGCCTATTCAGAAAGATGAGGCAGGAAGATTGCAGGTTTAAGGCCAGACTGGTCTACACAGGAAGACTGACTCATAAAAATCAGGAAAAATTTAGTTCTTTGGAGTTTCATGACAAGCAATAAGCGTGAGCAGCTGGGAGTTGCTCACACCTGCAATCCCAGCACTTGGAAGGTCAAGGAAAGGGAAATGAGAGGTTGAGTCCCACTTGGGCTACATACAGGTACTCAAAAAAAAAGGTTCTAAAGTTTAAAAAAAAGTTGAGAGATGTTGCCATGAATGAGTTACTATATGAAACACAGTAGTGTTTTAATACTGCTACTAAGTGTTTATGTAAGTGCCCCAATAAATACTATGTGTTCTGAAAGATTTAAAAGAGGAGAGCCTCATGTGTGCTTCAGCACTTGGTATCCACAATTCCTACTCTAAGAGCTGGAGAGATCTGAAAACTCCCAACGGCCATCTCTCCTCAGAGGTGCTACCCTCAGTTAATAGCTTGTCTGCCCAGTCCACATCTGTCCTGTAAACACATCAGCCACCAACCCAAGAAGGGTGGGTAATGTGGTGACCAGAAGATCAGTGAGCAACAAAGCCCCCTCCTCAGCACCTGTCTCCAGGTGTTCCAGGACATTCAACTCCTAGATTATGTCTGGCCACAACAGAACCAATGTCCAGTGTCCACTTCATTTTTGTCTCCTTTCCCAATCCCCAGTAAAATGCTTTGAAATGAACTGCAATAATGAGATATAAATTTCAGCTAATATGAATGTTATTAACAACACAAGCTTATTTCAAATGATGGAATTTTTGAAATTAGAAGGAAAGTGTGCCAATGATTCTAAGAGGACGGAGAGGTATTTCCAGTTCCTCCCAAACCATGCTGACAGTATGGCCAGCTTTACCTATGAGCAAATGAGTTGTTGCTAATATCCATGGTTTTTTTCTTTCCAGGGATCTGACAGAAGTTGTTGATCTTTCTAGATTTAAAAAATTAAAATATTTATGGCTCCATCATAATAAGGTAATGTTCCGTTTTATCTTTAAGTTACTTATATGTCTTAATTGCATGCTTTAATGAAGCTAATATTTAGAATATTAACTATTATTTGTAAACCTTAGCCTCAAATAAGAAGCACACAAACATATATATGAATATGTATGGTACAGATATCCAAGACCTGTGTGATGTATGTACATCTCATATATTGAATAAAAGAATGTGTGAGATTCTATCAGACCACAGTTTTATTTATGCCTCCATGTTTTGCGAAAGAAGGTTTGGAGAGTCGCATCATTCCTCTCCTAGTAATATAAGATCTTACTTATTTGGTTTAATTCAAAAGTCCATTTGGTCCTATTTTTAATATATTCCTCTTCCTCTACAGATGAAATACAGAGAGGCAAGTGCACACACACACACACACACACACACACACACACACACGCATGTGCACTGGCATGAAAGCACCCACATACACCCTGTCTTGATGAGATGAAATTTATATCTTGTTGTTGAGGAATTTATTGTACTCTCATTTCAAAACATTTTACTGGGAATTGGCATGACTATAGGTGGCCATGTGCGTTTTTTGTTAATTAGGGAGATACAGTTGGCCATTTTCTTTCCTCCTCACCTCCACTAGTGTTCTCCAGGTTTGGTGTTGTGGCAAGTGTCTTCACCCATATCTTGAGCCAGGTTTGGTGTGCACTGGTGTGGTGTGGAGGCTTAGAAAAGGTAAGAGAGAAACGGTTCTTTATCCACCAACAGCACAAGTCTGTCTCTCTTGTTCGTTCCTTTCCTCATCCCAAACAGTCCTCCTTTTGCTCCCATGTCTTCTTGCTTTTTAAGCCTTTAGCCCATCTGTAAGAAAACTCATGTACTCAGAGTTTCTGGCTTATTTCACTTGGCACAATGATGCCCTGTTCTATCCATTTTTCTGAAACAGCATAATTTTGTTCACCCTATGATAGTTTAATATACCACTGTGTGTGTGTGTGTGTGTGTGTGTGTGTGTGTGTGTGTGTGTGTGTGTGTGTAAGCATTTTATTATCTATTCATCATCTGTGAATAGTGTCAAGGTAAGGTAAGCTTGGGGAGATCTCTGTTGGTTTTGTAGGTTTCTATTTCTTTGATTGATATAACAGAGAATGTTGTGGCTGACTGGGTTGCTTTATTCAAGCATTTATTGATAAGATTGTTTGTTCTTTTGGTGTTTAACTTTTCTCGGTCTCTGTATTTTGTAAATTGGTTCTCTGTTGAATAGCTGGCAAGGCATTTCTGCCACTCTAGTCTGCCTTTAGCTCTGTAATTGTTTCTTTCACTTCACAGAGCCTTTCCTACTTTATGTAATCCTGTTAGTAAATTCCTGTTAGTATTTCTGGAGCTATTAGAGGCCTAATCAGGAAAACATTACATATGCCTCCATGTATGTTTTGGGTTTTACATTGAGAACATGCGCTCTCATATTTTATTCTCCAGAGGCATATGTCTTTGTCTGTTATCAAAGGAAAAGGTGTCAGTGAGGACAATCGTTAGTGAAATGAACTTAGCTTCATCAGGAAGCATCCGGCACCAAACAGCCATATCTCCAACTTCAGGGAACAGTTCTCCAGGTCAGACCTTCTGCTCACAAAGCTTCCTTAGAGGCTATGTTTTTAGAAGTGTTCCCACCCTGCCCTCATAGGAATGGCCCCAGTGTGGGGCTCCCAGCTCCTCCAAGGGAAAGAGCAGACTAGCCTAACTCAAAACCTGACAGTAATTACAGGAACTAGTCAGAAGGTGGCTTCCAGCCTTCAGTGTGGCTTCCTGACAGCCTGGCTTTTCTTCACTACACACTGATAACTCAGTTTTGGCATTTTTAATTCAGATCTCCAAACACCAGCAGTCAAAATTATGGCAATCTTTTCCCAACAATGGGCTGCCTTTGTACAGAAGGCACAGTCACAACACCCAATCTTTAAACAGCTATGTTTATGAAAACCTCTCAGTAGGTCATTGCATCTTTAAAAAACCAACTGGGTGGAAATGGAAAATAAAATTGCTTTCAGTATGAACTATAAGCATCAGTTTGTCTCTTAATCTTGAAGTCATTTCTAGGAGGAGGAAGAAATAAAAATACCTTTAAGGATCAGGCAGCTAATGACTGAAATGGAAAGTACACACACCACTTAAAGGTATTAAAATTCAAAACTCTTCTAAACACCCTGCCAGAAATTATCCTGGGTCATAGCACATGACCTCTGATTAAAACAAGATGGAAACCACCAGGCATGGCTACACAGTGACTCATCTTTGTTTGCCGTGTAGCTCCATGTGGCAGTCATTTTTGAAAGGCAGACATGGCAAGTGTGGCACTATGTCCGAGGGGAGAGACCTGGTTAGGGACTTTGTGGTGTTTCTTGACTTTCTGTGAGGCAGTAGTGTCCAACCTGCAGTCACCCGCTGAATCCATAGAGTTGGCCTCCAGAGGTGTTATGCAGAAAGGGAGGGATCTCATGCCCATCAACACTTTCTTCTTTTTATGAGGGTGGGGTGGGGTAGGGTGCAGGGAGAGATTGGGGCCTTTTCTTGTGTTTTTATTATGTGCAATGGACTGTGTTCTTTTTAAAATCATCACTCACTTTTCCCTAAGGAACACATTAACGTAGCTTATGTAACATGAAAAGGTGAACCACCTGACACATTTTAGGTGCTCCTGGGATTGGGGAATGAGCTAAAATGACATAAATTTTTCTACTGATTGGTGATTTGACTGGGTACCCATATTGCAGAAATGTGGGAGATGTCCCTAAGATTTATTTATGCAATGAGTTTAGGTATATGCAATCACTGCTTGCAAACACCTGACCTTTTCCAGAAAATAATTACAAGAAACCCCCTTCTTGAATATAAGAGCTACTAATAAAACAAACTGCATGAATCCCACATAATTTGTGCTCTTATGATGAATTTCTCTTACCTCAGGGCAACATTAACTATACTTTTGTCAACTCTGTTGACTTATAGTTTGCCAAAGGTTTAAAACATACAGAAAATCAACACAAATAACCAACAAAAAGCTCAGCTCACCGCATGGTTGTGAAATCCATGGATATGAACAGTGTGTACCTAGTTTTTACCTTTTAAAGAGTTTGTGTTACATTTTTGGGTATTTTGCCTACATGTAAGTGTCCCACAAGCATGCAGTGCCTGCAAAGGCCAGAAGAAGACATCAGATCCTTTGGAACTGGAGTTAAAGAGATTGTAAACCACCACATATAAGCTGGGAATCCAATCCTGGTCCTCTGGAAAGAGGAGCCAGTGCTCCTAACTGTGGAGCCATCTCTCCATACCCATCCCCTTCGAGTTGTGATTTTTAAGGAAAGAACTATAACTTACATTTGGAAAGTGCTTCCAGAAAATTTTAGTAATTTGCTAATAAGATGGGGTAAGTGCAAATCTTCTTGATTAAATATAACAGCTATTTCTGAATATTTTCAAGTGCAGTGTTAATCTTTTTTAAGTTTATATATCTTAAGCATGGATAAAAATGAGTGTACTGTTTTAATTTATTAGGCAGAAACACCACAGACGTGAATTTAGGAGGCTAGGGTGAATATTAGTATATGTTGTATTATTAAAATTCTCTCAAACAAAATGCAACTTGGAGTTTCTGTAGATTCTACTCCACTCTAGTAGGAATGGTTATCATTAGGGAAATAACAGCAATGTATATGTGCAGAATGGAATTTTACACAGCCATGAAGAAAAATGAAATCATGACACTTGTGGGGAATTGAATGAAACTGAAAATCATTGCGTTAAGCCAAATGAGCTAGGTTCAGAAAAACAAATACTATACGTTTTCACTCATGTATAGACTTTGGGTTTGTTTGTGTGTTGGGGGATGTTTTCAGATCACAAAGCTGGAAAGGGAAATCATGATAATGAAGGAAGTGATGTTGAAGGAACTGGGGAACAGAAAGCAATAGAATACATGTGACAAGAAATCAGAAAGGGGAACAAAACTGGAGAAAGTCAGGGGACCAGCCAAAGAGGGAGAGTAAGGAAGGGGAGGGCAGTGGGGCAGAGGAATGAATTAGAACAGAGTATGTCTTTGTTACTGTGATGACTGAAGCAACTTGGGGAAGAAGGGGGTTGTTGAGTTCACACTTTAACATCCCAGTTCATCATCAAAGGAAGTCAGGATAGGAACTCAAACAGGGTAGGAACCTGGAGGCAGGAACTGACGCAAAAGCTATGAAGGGGTGCTGCTTACTGGCTTGTTCCACGTGGCTGGCTCAGCCTGCTGTCTTATAAAACCCAGGACCACCAGACCAGGGATGGCATCACCCACAATAATCTGGGCCCTCCTCTATCAATCACTAATTAAGAAAACTCCTTCCAGTAGGATCTTATGGAGGCATTTTCTCAATTTCAATTTCCTCCTTTTAAATCTAGCCTGTGTCAAGTTGACATGAAACTAGCCAGCACAGTATGATACCACATAATTTGAAGATAGCCTGATGAAACTCTTTACTTTTCTTGCTGACTTAAAAAAAAAAAAAACTTAAATAATTAAATTTTAAAAAGATTCTTCTCTAATGCTTGAAATATTTTAAGAAATACTGATATTTCAATATTCAAACATAAATAACTTGGTTTGCACACGAATATAGAGTTTCTGAGACTCTCACTGCATTGTTTAGCCACTGGTCTGGAAATCTTTGTTCTCAGAGTTTCTCAACCATGATGCTACTGACTTTCTGATAACTTGTGATATTGAGAGTTGGCCATCTTTAGACATTAAGCAGTATTCATGGCCTCTGCCCACTGATTTCTAGGATATCCCCTGCCAGGAATTACAGCCGAAACTATTTCCACATCCTCAGTTACTCCTTGTGAGCCGGGGAGGAATTGCCCCTATCACTAAGAATCACTCAATATGACAAAAACCAAAATCAAACAAACAAAACTGGCCCATGGAAACCTAAATGCAAACAAGCCTCAACTCTCATCAAATCTACACCTCTGGTCAAATC